TCAAGTCTGAATGGCAGAAAGCCGCCTACCTCAAGGACAAGATGCGGAAAGCAGTGGCAGAGGAGCTGGCCAAGTGACGTGTGGCCCAGCGTGGGCCTTGGGCGGCAGGAGGTGGCACCCTCGGGGACAGGCCTCAGCCAGGAGGGGGGTGGGCCAGCAGCTCTGAGTGGCAGGGTGCTCTTCCGTCGGTAATAAATCTTTAGTTTTGGTTTTCAACACCAGGCGGCCTCCCGGGCTCTGTCACAACCCTGCGCCATCCACCCTGCGCGCTCGCCCACCTGTCCGCTGTGGTGGGCGGGACGTGGTCCCCTGGGGCTCTGCCCTGTGTGCCCTCGACCCATGGGCAGGGCAGCCTTTCCTGACCGCCCCATCACCCCATCTGCCCCAGCTTCTCTCTGTCACGCACAGGGGACCTTTCTCATGTGCGTCCATAGCTGCCTGTGGCTTAGGGCCTGCGTCCAGCACAGACCGACTCCTGGACTTGTGATGCTAGTTGAGGGTCAGTGCCTGGCTTGGGGTTCTAATTGGGGTGTGATCACAGTCATTCTGGGGGGACCTCATGGCCTGTGCCGACAGGTGACATGAGGGCTGGGCGCTCAGGTACTGGCTCTGGAGCAGAAGACCGCTCACTTGACTGTCACTGTGGGGTGGGGGAGACCAGAGTGTCAGCGTGTTGTCCCCATTACGGGCGCCACCCAGCCGCAGTGCTGCCTGGTGCTGGCAGGAAAGGGGCTTTCCCCTTCCTTCCCTTCCGGGCTTCTCCCCAGACTCCCGCTGGCAGGACAGCACTGAATGGACGGGAGGCTGGGCACTGCCACAGACCCAGGGGACAGTGGGAGCAGCCGAGGAGACAGGCTGCCTCACCGCCCCAGGTGCTACGTCCCAGCTGTTCCCTGCCCCTTCCCCAGTGGTCCCTCCCGTTAAAGCCTGGGGTGGAGGAAGTTATTGGGCACCAGCGCACAGGACGTGAGTACCTGTCATTTACACAGGCTGGCGGGGCAGGGGCAGCTAGAGATGGCTTTCTGTAGCTGGTGACACCACGCCCAGGCTAGATGAGGGAGCATGGAGAGCATTCCAAAGGGAGGACCAGTGGGGACAAGGGCCCAGGGTGCAGGGCCAGTTCAGGGCCTCTAGGAGGTGCCACTGAGGAAGCGCAAGGGCATCCTGCCCATGCCCAGCGCCGCCCACTTCTGCCTGGTGCTCGCTGTGCCTGTGCCTCCCCAGCTTCCTCTGGGAGCTCGTCCAGGACACGGGAACACATCGCACACGACGGTGCTGCCCTTGGTACTCAACCTCCCCCTTGACCTTAGCCACCGGCAACCACCAACCTGGTCTCCACGTCTACATCGTCATTTCGAGAGTGTTCCCTGGAGAAGTCAGAGCCCATAGCTTTTCGAGCTGGGGTCTCCACCCACGGTTCTCTGGGGGCTCATCCAGGTCACTGCGGGCACCTCTGGTCCCTTGCGTGTCACTGCGGTTAGACTGGGGGCCTGTTCCCATTTGTCTGACATAAACTGCTGGGTTGTAGGGAGTTCAGAGGCCGAGCTATGAAGTGGCCAAACTTTTCCAGAGCCACTGCCGTCACCCCATGTTCCCAGCAGCCAAGTGATCCCAGCAGCCAAGTGAGCGAGCGGCAGGGTGGGTGGTTCCCCCTGGCGTTTCCTCCCAGGGCTGCGAGGGCTGCCGATGAGGCACTTACTCCGTGGGTGTGAAGTGGTGTCTGACTGGTGTGGTTTTTATTTCCATGATGACAAACGACACCTTTTTATCTTTGTGTGCTTGTGTTCATTTACATAATCTTCGCAGAAATACCTACTTAGGTCTTTTGTGCAGTGTTTCGTTGTCTTACTACTGAATTTTAAAAGTTCTTTATATTTCTAGAAACAAGTCTCTTACCAGGTAAATGATTTGCAAATATGTTGTCTAACTTGGTGCGTGTACTTTCACTTTCTTGATGTCAATACCACACTGCTTTCTTTGTAAGTTGACATGGTTTTCTTGGGTAGCACGTCTCCACCTGTGTGCCCTTCAGACCGTTTGTTTCCAGGAGCTTTATGATTTTCTGGCGTCGGCACCGTGCCGCCCGCACTCCAGCCCAGCGGCTCCTCTGGCCTCATGCAGGCTGGGGACTCTGGGCACCGGGCAGAGCAGAGCCGAGAGCACTCATCCCTGCCTCGCTCCCAGAAGTCAGAAGACATTCCATCTCGCCGTCCAGTGTGGCGTTAGCTGTGAAGCTTTTGTACATGATCTTCGTCAAGTTTATGTTAACTTGCTGAAAAGTTTTTGAAAATCCGAGTGGCTGTTGGGTTATGTCAAGTCCTTTTTCTGTATCGATTGATATATAATTTTTTTTAGTGTGTTGGTATGCAGAGTTACATTGATTTTCAAGTGTCAAACCACCCTGCACACCTGGAATAAATTACACTGTCATGGTGTAGAATTTTTTTTTATAAGTTGTTGGGTTTGATTTGCCAATGTTTTATTGAGAATTTTTGTGCCTAAATTCATAACAGATATTGGTCTGCAGTGTTCGTTTGTTGGGGTACTATCTTTGCCTGGTTTTGGTATCAGGGTATTTCCTGTCTCATAAAATGAGTTTGGAAGTGTTCCCTCTTCTATTTTCTTGAAGAGATTGTTTAAAATTGTTAATTCTACTTTAAATACTTGGTAGAATTCTATTGAGAACATCTGGGCCTGAAGATTTCTTTTGGGGAGCATTAAAATTACAAATTCTATTTCTTTCATGGTTATAAGATACTTCAGATTATTTCATCTTGCTTGAATTTTGGCAGATTTTAACTTCCAAATAATTGATTCATTTCTTCAAAGTTGTTGAATTTATGAGCATTGTTTGGAGCAGCATTCACTTGGTACCCTTGCCATGGTCCCCATTATTAGTCAGTGTTCGCGTATATACAGATCAAGGTAAGAACTGGCCCCACAGCCTGCTAGTCAGCTAGAGTTTGGGGGGCGGGGGGCAGAGCTGGTGGGATAATCCAGTCCAGGTCCAAAGGCCGAAGAACCGGGTGCTCCAGTGTCCGAAGCAGGAGAGGGTGTGGGGGTGGGAAGGGATGGGGGGAGAGAGGGAAGTCACCTTCCTTAACCTTCCTGTGCCTCTGGGCTCCCAGCAGGTGTGCTCAGGGCAGGTCTCTGCTCAGTCATGTCAGATGCTGACCTCTCCGTAGATACCCACCCAGACATCATGGGCTCCTCTGAGCCTGTCAAGTTGACCTTAAAATCAACCATCACAGCCCCTGTCGCATTCCTGATACTGGTCGTTTGTGTCCTCTCTTTTTATATGTCACTCTTAGAGGTTTATCAAATTTTATTGATTTATTTTTAAAGGTTCTCAAATATGCCTCCAATTTTAATATGATCCCCTATGCACATTTACTTGCTGCTAAAAATTGAAATAGCACATCAAAAAAGATTTGTTGCAATTCAAATTTGTAAAAACCAGAGACTCTAAATGCACCCCACCTTAATTATCCTCTGGCAAACCACCCAGTGTTTCCCACATTCTTGCACACAAGTTACTTGCTTCTATTCTTCATGTTGGGTTTCGCCTTACTTCAGACTTCTAGACCACATACTTTGATACTACATATTTTTATTTTCAAAGTCCAGTACTATAGGGTTAGGGTTAGGGTCCACCCACAGAGTCTGATTTCAGTTATTTTAAATATGTTGATGTTTGTTGTATGGCCTGGGGTTTGATCTGGCTTGGGGAATGTTCTTGACATTAAAATTGGGTGTATTCTGGGGCAGCTGGTTAACTCAGGTGGTTAGAGCACAGGCTCATAACACCAAGCAAGGTTGCCAGTTCGATTCCCACGTGGGCCAAGGAGCTGCGCCCTCCACAACTAGATTCAAGACAACTACTTGACTTGGAGCTGATAGGTCCTGGAAAAATACACTGTTCCCCAATAAAATTTTTTTAAAAGGGGGTGTATTCTGCTATTGGGTGTAGTACTCTGTCGCCAGGATGCTGTCCTATGCCTCAGGGCCAGGGAGGGGCTATCTGGTCCCCCAGGGGAGGGAGACTGCTTCCTGGGATACCCCTTGCCAATGCCACACACACACACACACACACACACACACACACTTGCCCTGTATCCTCTGGCTTGGGGGGTGGCTTGGGCCCAGCGGGGAAGGAGTGTGCTTCCCTTGGCCCCTCCCCTGACCCTCCTGCCAGGTCTGCCGGGCTCCCCTAGATTTGTCGGCAGGACTGCAATTCCACGTCAGGGAATGCTGGGCCTGGGTCCCCTTCTGTTGGGTGGGCTGCTCTGCTGTCCCTTCAGTCCTGCGGTGCCTCCTGTTTCCAGCATTTACTGCTGGGTTACTCGGAGGGGCAGAAACTAGCCCGTACCACCTCATCCAGCCGGGAAGCCCCTCAGGCCCTGCTGAAGGGCTTTGGGTTTCTGGGAGGTCGGTGTGATGGCCAGGTGTGACGGCCAGGTGGTCGGCGGCTGGCGAGCGGTGGGGTTAGGGAGGGCCCAGTAGGGCGACGGGGAACGGCCCCAGGAGGAGGCAACTCAGAACCACCTGGGCAGGCAGGGACAAAGAGGGGCAGCAGGCGCGCCGGGGGATAGATGGACAAATTGCCAAAGATGGAGCTGAGCAGGGTGCGGGCGGAGGCTGGGCGTGCTGGGCCCCGCGGTGTCGCCGAGAAGCGCCCGGCAGGCAGGCCCTGGCTCCGCGGGCTCCAGGTGGAGCCGGCAGAAGACGGGGTGGCGGATGCTCGCCAACAACGGCCGCTCCGACCCTGCCCCGCCCCCGCCCAGCTCGGGTGGTGACAATGTCCGTCTGTCTCCCGGAGCCTGGTACAGGGCGGGTGCTCAGGCGCATCTAGGAGGTTGGGGGGGGGGCGGGCGTCCTCGGGGGCGTGGCAGCGGAGCTTCTGGGAAGGAGGAAGGCGTGTTTCTCCCCCCCCCCCCCTCCCACTACTGGGCGAGAGCCGAGGGGTGGGGCAGCGGGGAGCCCCGGGGACCAGTCTTTCCCACCGGCTCAGGTTGCCATGGAGTCGGGAGGTGGTTGCCATGGAGACTGACGTGCGAGGACCAGCCAATCAGTGCGGAGCTGCGGCTCCAGCTCACCTCTTGGATGGAGGCACCGGGCTGGGCGGGGACCCCCGGCCCGTACAGGTGGGGGGTCGGGAGGCAAGGCAGGGGGGCTGCGCCGCCGCCTCCCCCAAAGTGCCCGGCACCCCGAGTTCTGGCAACCCGCCGCCTCTTCCCGACCCGGCGATGCCACCCCGGGGTCGGCCCAGCTTCCGGCGGGCTGAGAACCTTGTTCCTGTAAAGGGGCGGGAGGGGTGCTGCGGGAAGGGCAGGGCCGCGCGGGGCGGGAGGGGGCGCGCCGGGCGGAGGGAGGGAGCCGCCCCCACTCCCTGCGCACCGTGCGCTCCGCAGTGCCTGGCGCGTCCGCGCACTCTCACTCGGGGCGCAGGGAGGGCGGGGCGGCGCTGACGTCATCCACTGACACCCCCCCCATCCCCCGGGCGAGGGGCGGTGGCCGCACAGGCTCCACGGGACAGACGCACGGACGGACCAGGACGGAGGGACGGGCGCACGGCCAGGCCATGCCCGGGGAGGCGGCCCGCGCGGAGCTGCTGCTGCCGGAGGCGGGCGGGCCTGGGTCCCGCACAGGTGAGGCCGCGCGCTTTGCGCCGCGTGCGTCTCCCCCGCCCCTCGGTCTGTCCCTGTCTCCTGTCTGTGTCTGTCCCCACCCCGTCATTTCGGCGCCCTGACCTTCCGTGAACCTGAGTGCTGACCCCTCAGGACTGCGGGTGAAGCTGGGTGGACGCGAGGGCCTGCGAGCGCCCCGGGCTCCGTGCACCCCATTGTCTGCGTGGAGCGGCAGGCCTGACGGGCCTGGCGGGTTCCCAGTTTCACCCCCCACCCCCCACCCCCGCCCCGGGCCCTGGGGACACCTGCCCCCAGATGCCCGACAGCCGCTCAGGGCGGGCGACTGGTCCCAGAGGGAGGGAGACGTGGGAAAGGAGCTGGCGCCTGAGGCGGCCAGAGGGGCGCCTGCGTGGGTCTGGGCGGTCGGAGGCCTGGGGAGCAGCGGCCGGGTGTGCAGGCCCACGTCCTTGGCGAGGCTAGGTCAGCAACGGTGGAGGCTGAGGGCGTGTGCCTGGCCTGGGAAGACCAGCCACGGTGGCCCAGCTGGTCAGCCGCGTGTATCTCTGGGAGGGCCAAGGGCACCTTGCTGTGGGTGAGATGTCACCTGAGGATGGACCAGTGCTGGGTCCAGGGGCCTGGCCTCCTCTGTAGTCCAGTAAAGGAGGTAGGGCTGGGGTCCCCAGATGCAGGGTCTGGGGCTGGCCCTCCTCAGACTGTTCGATGCCCTCGAATGAGTCACTAAAACCTTTGACCTTTAGGCTTACCTTCCACTCCAGCCTTGGCCCAGCTCCACCTTTTCCCTGCCCCGGACGTGGTTCAATTCAGGTGGGCAGGGGTACCATGCTAAGCTTAAGGCCCAGAGCCCAGTCTTGGGCACCCAGCCCGCCTGGCACACCCACCTCCAAGCTTTGGGTATTCATCACACCCCAGTGGACCCAAAGAACCCCCTTTTCAGCACCCTCCGGCCACCCCAGCACCCAGTGTGGCCAACTGTGGGCAGGTGGGCAGCCTGGGGAGGGGCCACCCCTTTGGAAGCTTCACCTTGAATCTATGCGACACTCCACTCAGCAGACAGAAAGCTGAGGCACGGGAGACACTGCACCTGGGACTGGAATGTCCCAGAGCCGAGCAGAGTGCAGGCCCCCCGGCCCCAGGGCCCTCTGACCTGGGAGGTCACTAGAGGGTCTGTCCTGCCAAGCCCAGCGAGGCGGCAGACTTTGTGCAGGGAGATGGGGCAGTGTCATCACTACCCAACATCTCAGACAGAAGTCAGGGTCCTGTTTGTGCCATAGCCACACCCCACACACGCTGACCCCAGGGTGCACCCCGTGGTCCGAGGTCTTGGAGCTTGTCCCCAGAGGCAGCAGTTCGCTTCCCTGTCCCGCCCCCTTTCAAGCTGTCACCCCCTTCCCTGAAACCCACTTTCTTTCCCATGGGCCCACCTGGGCTCAGGGCAGGCACCCACCCTCCATGCCCTTCTCTCTCCGCAGATCTGTCCTGTGACGCAGCTGCGGCCACCACCCCGAGAGGGGACCGGCTGGAGCCCTGTGCCCTGGCTCTCACGTTCCCGCCCAGCAAGCCAGGCGCCCGGCCCCCACCCGAGGGAGCCAGCTGGGATGCAGGGCCCCACCTGGCCCCCTTGGCCTGGGCAGTCCCAACGGAGGGCAGTCCCAGCCCAGGGCCCCCCGAGGTCCAGCTCACCGAGGGGACTCTCCCAGGCACCCTGGAACCCCGGATTGTGATGGGCGAGGAGACATGCGGGGCACCCCCGCCATCCCGGGAAGCCCTGCCAGAGCTCAGGGACCAGGAGGGCGGGCCCGCTAGCCTGAGCCCACCCCCTGCGCTGTGTTCTCAGGGTGACCTTCCTGTGCCTTTCCCTGCCGTGGACCCCGATTCCTACTTCACACCTCCCTCCACCCCTAGTGAGACCGCTGCCCCCCTGCTGCCCGGTCCCAGGGATGCCCAGGTTGAGCCCGGGGACTCGCTGCCTGCTTCGCCCTCGGGCTCCTACATCACGGCGGATGGGGACAGCTGGGGCTCGTCCCTGTCCTGCTCCCTGAGCCTGCTGGCCCCGGATGAAGGGCTGGACGTGCCCTCAGCCTGGGGCTTCTCCCCGCCAGGGTCTGAGGCCGATGAGCAGGAGCTGCCGCCTGTGGGGTCTCCTGGGTCCCTGTCCCCAGAGTCCAGCCTCTCTGGGGACAGCAGCTCTTCCTGGGACCAGGAGGGCCACTTCTTTGAGCTGGACTTTCTGGCCAATGACCCGATGATCCCAGCCGCGCTCCTGCCTTTCCGGGGCAGCCTGATCTTCCAGGTGGAGGCTGTGGATGTGACGCCGCTGTCCCCTGAGGGGGAGCAGGAGGAGCAGGAGGCCCCCGACGGGGACCTGGCTGGCGAGGATGACAACGACAGCACGTTCGCCTCCTCCCTGCAGTCACTGTCTGACCTCTCCATCACCGAGGGCGTGGACGAGGCCTTTGCCTTCTGGGATGACACCTCAGCCGCCTCCTCTGACCCTGACTCGGCCTCCTATGCAGGGGCAGAGGATGAGAGGCTATACAGCGGGGAGCCCCATGCGCAGCCCACCACCCGGCTCCAGGACGGCGCTGAGGAGGAGGCCACTCCTGGGGTCTCCAAGGAAGAGGCCGGCCGAGCCACCGAAATTACCGGGGCAGGCCCCACCGCAGACCGGGTGTCCACTGTGGTCCCACAGGAAGCCCCAGGCCTCGCAGGGGCGACCCCTCAGGCCCAGCAGGGAGGGGCAGGCTTCTCCACAGGAACAGCGCCTGTTGCCACAGCCACACCTCAGCCCCTGCAGGAGGGGCCTGGCGCTGCCTTAGGCCTGAAGCCCCCAACCCAGCTCTGGACCACGCAGGGGGAGGCGGTCCTCGCGGCTGGCCCGGATGCTCAGCAGGACCTGGAGGAAGATGCAGGCCAGGTGTCCCCGCAGGGAGAAGGGGACCCTACCCCTGTGACCACGTATCTGCCCCTGCAGGATGCAGGCCTCCCCTCAGACCAGGGGCCTGCCACTGAGGCCAGCCCTTGGGCCCTGCAGACAGATGCAGGATGCCTCCCAGGGACTGAGCCCATGGCCACTGCAGCCCAGCGGGAAGGAGGCCAGACCTTGGGACTGAAGCTACCGGCTGAGGAGAAGGACTCAGGCCATACAGGAGACCCGGAGCCTCTAGCCTTGGACCAGACTCAACAGGGTAGCCCGGAGTCAGCTGCAGACACTGGGACACCCTGGGCCTCGAATGGAGACGTAGGCCCCCGCAAACCCGCCTCAGAGACCCCAGATGTCCCAGATGCCTCTGAGCCTACCACAGAGGCCCCAAACACCCCTGAACCCACCTCGGAGGCCCCAGACCTCCCAAAGCCCACCTTGGAGGCCCTGGACACCCCTGAGCCCGCTGCAGAGACCTCAGACCCCATGCAATCCCCCAAGGAGGACCCGGACTCTGCAGACCTCCCCGAGGAAGCCTTGGACCCCCTCAAACCAGCCTTGGAGACCCTGGACCCTCCGTATCCCCCCACAGAGGCCCTGGGTGCCCCTGGACCCACTTCTGGTGGGGAAGAAGCAGCTGAGGGCCTGCTGGCTCCCGACAGGGTGGCCTGTTGCGACGCCCACCTGCCTGGCGGTGGGGGAGCTGAGTCCTGCCTGCCCCTGAAGGAGGCCCCAGGAGCTGAGAGCCAGGGGGCTGGAGGCCTCGAGCCGGCTTCCCAGGGCACTGGGAAGACTCCTGGGAGTGGCTGCCCCGAGGTTGGCCTGGTGCCGCCCCCGAGCACAGCAGAGGAGGGAAGGGCCACCCTGGGACCCACGCTTCCTGCTGCCATGGCCTCAGAGGCCAAGCTGGGCTCTTGCCCAGAGTCTTCATCAAGGCCAAGTGGAGGCCGCCCTGAAGAGCCCGCCCCCACGTCCCCACCGCCCTCCCCGCCGCAGCCTGTGCGAGGCCCAGGCGGTGAAGAGCAGGCCCAAGCGGCACCTGGAATCCTCAGCCCGTCCTCACCGCAGCCCCAGGACAGGCTCCCAGGCCCTGAGCCCTCTGCTCCTGGTGTCCTTGTGGGGACAGCCCCAGCCCCCTCCGCGTCCCCCGTCCCCTGCCCTTGCCAGGGCCCCCAGGAAGACTCTGTGGAGGGCGTGGGGCCCCCGGGCTCCCCCAGCCTCCCGCCACCCCAGGCAGGAGCCCAGTGGGCAGTGGCTGCCTTCTCAGGAACCACGAACCCCCCTGGGGCCGGGCAGCGGGTCAGCCTCCCGCCTCACTCTCCCCTCCTCAGCCCCAAGGTGGCCCCCATGGGGGACGCCCATGCCAAAGAGCTGGCCTTGCGGATCCCGCCCCCCTGCCAAGTGCCTCCTGGCTCTGGGTCTCGGAGCCCAGCCAGTCCTCAACGGCTCCCAGCAGCCAAGCAGCAGGATGACCAGGACAGCCTGGAGGAAGGTGAGGGTCTGGCCTGGGACGCTGTCTTGCGTGAGGGACTGGAGGTGGTGGGATGTGGGGCCAGGCCACCCTCACACGTCTCCTGTCCCCAGAGTCACCCCGGGCTCCCGGCTCAGGCCAGCACTCGGACAGCCACGGGGAGTCGTCCGCCGAGCTGGAGGAGCAGGACCTGTCAGGACCACAGGCCGCACAGTGCCTGGCCCAGGTGCCGCCCGGGGGAGGGTGCGCCCGGGCTCCACATCCTGCCCTTGGTGCTCAGACTCGCCCTTCCCCAGGCCTCAGCCAGTGGCAGCGAGGACACCGTGGCCAAAGCGAAGCAGAGCCGCAGCGAGAAGAAGGCTCGAAAGGTGGGCTGGGGCCCTGCGCCCTTGGGGAGGTGCCGGGCTGGCCAGACAACCCACCCATGGCTGGTGAATCCTCGCCGAGGACCCTTAGACAAATGCAGTGGCCAGACACGCCAGCCTGAGCCCAACACCCTTCTCTGCACATGGGGTCCCCCCTCCCCTGTCCTCCGGGTCCCTCTACCCTGACGGGACCCCCAGGTGGCACCCAGGCCTGAGCCTTCCCTGCCTCCAGGCCATGTCCAAACTGGGCTTGAGGCAGATCCAGGGCGTCACCAGGATCACCATCCAGAAGTCCAAGAACATCCTCTTTGTCATCGCAAAGCCTGACGTCTTCAAGAGCCCCGCCTCCGACACCTACGTGGTCTTTGGGGAGGCCAAGGTGGGCTGTGGGGCGGGGCAGGGGCGGGGCGGGGCCTGGCCGACAGCCGCACGCTGTGCTGCAGATTGAGGACCTGTCCCAGCAAGTGCACAGAGCCGCTGCTGAGAAGTTCAAGGTGCCCGCGGAGCCCTCCACCCTGGTCCCCGAGTCGGCGCCTGGGCCGCGGGTGAGGCCGGAGTGCGAGGAGGAGGAGGAGGACAAGGACGAAGAGGAGGTGAGGGTCGGGGCGGGAGTGGGGACAGGCTCTGGCGGGGGCGGGGCAGCCCTAGCACCTCCTGCTGGCCCCTCCAGGTGGACGAGGCTGGGCTGGAGCTCCGGGACATTGAGCTGGTGATGGCACAGGCCAACGTGTCCAGGGCCAAGGCCGTGAGGGCCCTCAGGGACAACCAGAGCGACATCGTCAACGCCATTATGGTGAGTGGCCCGCCCGCCCGAGACGCCCTGCGCTGGCTCTGCTGGGACCGCCCCGGCCTGACTGTGTCTGCATTTCCTGCAGGAGCTGACCATGTAGCCACCGACCAGCCCCCCGGCTCCATCCCTGCTCCCAGCTCTGCTGCTCAATAAACGGGTGTCCCAGCCTCTCTGCTCCTGCTCAGCTGCTCCTCACAGCCTCTGGCTAAGCGGGTGTGAGGGATGAGGATGCTTCCTGAAGCCACAAACACCCAAGGACAGTGGTGGTCCTCGCGCATCCCCAGGGGTGGTGGTCCTTCCCCGTTGTTCCACGGACACCGACTTGCCCAGATTGTAGGCAGTCCGGTCACTGGGCTGTGGCCTAACGTGTGGCCTGGGGACTGGAGGTCTGTAAGGAAGTCCCCAGACACTGGGCGCTCAGGAAGTTCCCACAGGGGCACCGGGGCTGGAGAAGCTGCAGGAAGGCAGCCTCGCGCCGAGTTGGCGGGTAACCCCCAAGGGTCTCGGCCCCTCACTGTGGCCCAGCTCTGTCACCATCCCCCTCTTCTCAAAAATGCAAGGACCCACAGAATGCGGGCTGCTTCCCAGACAGGAGGGGGCACACGTGTGGCTGTGGCCCCTGGAGGAGAGGAGCGGTTCCCGATCATCCACAGGTGGCTCACAGGACACCACGTCCGTCCCGCTGTGCAGGTTGGCCAGCTGCAGCCACTCACACAGGGTGGGTCTCCCAGGTGGAGGCGCCTTCTGGGGGAGGTTGTCCTGGCCCCATAGTCCAGGCTCCACCCTGGGGTCACTCCCACCGCCTCTGCACATCCCAAGGGCACAAGAGGGGCCGATCCCAGGGGGCTTCGGGGGTTGAGGGCAGAGCCCCCACCA